TAGCTCAGGATAACGATTACCGAAAAATCCTACTTCGGTTATTCAACTCTAATAGCTCGAGTGATGAGAACGCTTTGGCAAAAAAATAAAAGAGCACACCATACTTAGAAGAAAAAGAGAAATTTCATTGCCATTCCAAAAAAAAAAAAAAAAGACGAGCTAAATAGCTCGAGAAAGTTCAACAAGAGATAAACAAAAAAAAGGGGGGGGGGCACAACTGCCCAAGAAGATCTTTTCAAGACCAGGTTCTGGCACCCGGGAGCCACCAGCAATCAGAAGAACAGAAAAGCAGAGCCGCCAGCCTCAGGGGTCCACCTCCTCCACCTCGTCCTCATCCTCCGGGGAGTCAGGTTCTTCCTCCTTCGCCTAGTCCGTCGTCTCGGGAGCCAGGCCCTTCATGGTAATGCCGTCAAGGTTGAGCCCAAAGAACTTCTTTCGGACCAACCAGCGACAGAGCTTGAATCCGGAGTGGTACGATCTCGAGCCATACTTCACTTGGAGGTTGTGATACTCCTAGGAGTCCTTGAAGTCCCAGACCGCCCTCTCCCACTCGGCCTCCACCATGGTGTCGAAGTTCTGAGTTCGGTCCAGAAGTGTGGACTCCAAGTCCCGACCTGTTGGCAAAGGAGCTCCCTCTCCGCTGCCACCCTCGACGACTCCTCCCTGTAGCGTGCACTCTCCTCGGAAAGTCTGACGATTTGCGCCTCCTGGTCACGGACGAGCTGCTCCTGGGACTCGCTCCCCTTGCGAGTGTGAAGGAGCTCGCCCCGGGTCCGATCGAGCTCGCCCTGGAGCTTTTGAACGATGACCCTCTGATTGCAACCGTCGCTATAGTGGATGTTCATCTGGAGGGCCATGGCGTGGATGGCGGAGTTCACTTGCCAACAAGAGACTAAAGTCAGAGGACAGCAAAAGGAAGTAAAAAACAAGAAGAGGGGAAGGACTACTTACCACCATACAATGAGAGGCAGCAAGCGCGGCGAGCTCCCCGGACTCCATCTCCCCCCACTTAGCGATCTCCTCGTTGCAAATCGCCCTCCGGCTCTTCCGCCTGGCCACAACGTAATCATTAACACCCTCATAGTTCCCCACTAGGAGACGCGGGTAGGGAAATTGACAGGAAGGACCAGGGGGAACCACCCCTTGCTGCGGGAGCTCACCCTTCTCGAGGCTAACTCCGCCAGCACCTCCTTCAAATGGAGGTAGTGGAACTTCAGGCGGTGGAGAAGTAAAGTCTAGCTCAGCAAACCCGAACTCAGTGCCCCTAGAGTTGGAAGTCCGGTCAGGACGCGACCTCTCCACCTTGCGCTTTTGGTTGCTCGAGAGAAGGCAGCGCACATCAACACTAGACATGGTGGCTGCCAAAAAACCACAAGGTATTAGTCCAGTAAAAAAGGAAATATATGTATAGACATGATATTTTTACAAGGCACTATGCGACCTAAAAAGGCAACCTACCCGGACTCAGGCCAGCTTGTGCGAGCCTCTCCTCAGTCAAGTAGTTCGAATAGAGGAAGCCTTCTGATGCCCAGGACAACATCGTTTTCCAAATTTCAGGGTCCAACTCGGCCCCGGGGTCCTGGATGGCGCCCCTCCAAGCAGTAGGGAAGGGCCACCCCTCGGGGTTACGGACCACAAAATAGTCCCGCTTCCAGGCAGGAATCTTGTTCGGTAGCTCGTACAGGAGCTTATAGCCGCGGCGGGGGGAGAGGTAGTAAAAACGCTTTTCCGGAGGAGATCCGGGAGCGGCATTCTTGATGCAGAGAATAGAAGTGAAAATATCAAGGTCGAGGGGAAGACAATACTCGTAGCACAAAGAAATGGTCCCAACCATGTTCTGGATGGCGTTGGGATGGAGCTGGTCGGTGGTGACGTTGAAATGGTTTAACACCTCCACTATTAGGGGGTGCAGGGGAAGACGCAGGGCAGCCTCGAGCTGCTCTTGGAAAATCACTATATTGTTGGGACCATGTTCCCAGGGAAAGTTACCAGTGGGGATACTATAGAGGAGGTCCCCGGGAAGGTGAAAGTAACGGATTAGAGACCTGAGTCTCTCCACCGTCATGGAGGAGGGGCCAAAGGTGTTGGGCTCCCTCCCCCGAGAAGTAGAGGCCACATCACCGGAGGTCTCTCGAGCCTCCGGAACCTGCTCCCAAGCTCCCCCTGAGCTCGAGGGAGCGTCGTCGTCCTGGTTACCGTCCCGGGAATAAACATGGTACGGATACCCAGACATGATTGACAGAATGATTAGGACACCGAGAAAAAAACAAAATGGTGTGAATAGAAGAGCTCGGGCAAACTAGATGGATGCGCGACCTCAGAATCTGAAGACAGCAAGTTAGCGTGAAAGAAAATGAGGCCCAGGGGGCCCTCCTATTTATAGTCACTGCGCCTCCGAATCAACGGGCCAGATTGAGGCAGATCTGATGATTCGCAGTCAAGCTGACCGCACGCCTTCTGAAACCGAAATGTGACTGGCTGCACGCCTCCCATGATTGAAGTAATGGCAGCTGCACGACATCCAAAGTTAAGAGCCGCTTCAGCACGTTTTTCGGTATTCGAAAAGTTAGAAATCCCCTGATTCCCGCGCACACATTTAATATGAGCAGTCAACCAAGTTTGAACTTCGGTCAAACAACCCGTCACACTTCATGAAGTCCTCACGCTAAGGTAGCACTCTTAGCCCAAAGAGTGGGGGAAAATTGATGGAGGATGATTTGACCCGACCCATTGAGACGATGACACGTGGATCTGACTCAGCACGAGCAATAGCTCAGCACCACAGCCCGATTGCAACTAAGTAACAAGCTTATAGAACAGCTCGCTACGCCAAAGCTCATTGTAGGGGGAAGGTTCCCCGAGCTACTGAGAAGGGAATACTCCAAGACTATTTCAGCTCGTGAGCTAGGGTAACCAGGTCGCTCCAACACTTAGGCAAAAGAACTGCCCCAAAGACAACCACGATGAGGGCCACCTCAAAGTATCCCTAGGAGCTCGCTACAAAGTAGCTCGCGACTAGGCAACACGACGCCCTCAGGAAGCTTCTATCTAACAAGGTCGTACCCGTCAGACTGCACCACGTCTCTCGATGACAGCACAGTCCCTGCCCATTTGACAGTCTGCACCCACGTCTCTCGACAGATGGTGGTGTGTCTGTCCCTTCGAGACGTGTCACTCATCCAAGCGGGTAATACATTGTAACGATCACCCCTATAAAAGCCCTGGCAGGTAACGGCGGCGACAGAAGCCTAGTGGCGGTTAAGCCCGATTTGACAAGAACGCCCCTATAAAAGCCCTTTAATCAAAGGGGAGAACTCTCACTCTCGGATTTGGATCTGAACTTGAAGTATCTCACTTGCTCACGAGCTAATTTCGAGATACAGCGATCTAGCGCGACCTACACTCTTAGCCTGTTATACTCTTTTCTTCCTCCCCAGCGTTCTAACTTAAGCTTCGGAGTATTCCCGCCGGGCAAATCCCCCGGGAATCCTTCACCTTCGTCTTCTCAGGTGCCGTCCGTTGCCAACAAGGAGCCAGTCAGCAGCTAGCTAGGAGTGCCCGGATCGTGCCGCATCAAATACCAACAAGCCATCATAGCAAGGCGGTGTGCAACCCTATTAGTAATTCTAGGAAACTGAGAAAAGTTGCACATAGCAAAGCCGGACACTAAACTCATGCATTCTGCTAGCACATTTAGGATACATTTTAACAAAATTGGTCGATTGGCCAATTTAAGCCTTCCCCCTCTCATGCCAAGATACCGGCGAACGAATGAGACCTCAGTGAAAGCAACGAATAATATTTGCATGGAAGAAATGAATTAGAAACGAATTAGTACTTATCACAACACACTAACTTTTCAAGGTAGTGGTAATAGCGGGATTTGAATTTGCATCTCCACTAGACTTCCCAACTAACATGCCAATCGAGCCACCACTCAATTGGATTATCCTTTCAGCCTTAGTGGGGCGAGTTCGGCTTCAGTCAGGGCAAAGCCCATTCGAGCTACTTTTACTGCCTTGCATTGAATATCTCTGTACTTGTGTGCTTTATTTCATGGGGAGATATTTCCATTGCAAGATTGCAAAAAGCTGTTAGAATGGTGTAAACATACATTTGCCCTGATAGAAATCGATGTCTATTGGGGCCGAGACCCTACTTGGTAATGAGTGCATTATTTGACACTTTATTTCTCTTACTGCTTATAAGCCAGACTCAGATAGCTGAGAGTAGATGTTTAGCGGAGAATGGAGATGAATCAAAACAGTTCATCGGCTTGGCTATGGCTTGTAAACTAGCCCTGGAAATAAATGTCTTGTACATGTCCAGCTCCAAATTTACAAACCCATTTGAGGAGGAAAGGATGCATACATCTACATCTTTAGTTACAAAATTGTTTTTGATAACATGGCAGGTATTTTTGCTTTAAGGCTCAGTTTGGAAAGAGTACAAATGCAAATTTGTATAATACAAATACAAACAAAATAATACAAAATACAAGGTTTTGAACTTTAAATATTTGCATTTGTACTCCTTCCAAACCGGGCCTTAGGGAGAAAAAAGACATTCACATTGTCCAACCCTCTAAAGGGCGTTATACAATAATGTTTTTATTTTTTATTTGTTTTTGAAATTGCCATATCAGCAAAATAAATACAAATACATTCTTAAATTCTATTTTTGTTTTCAAAGAGAAAAACAAGTTAGTTTTATTTCCAAAAACAATAGATGTTTTTGGAAATAAAAACAAAACATAATTTGCAAAACAACTTGTTTTCAAACCAGATAATTTTGATATTTATCACACTTAATTTTATTTAATATCATAAATACATATATATATATATATATATATATATATATATATATATATATATATATACATTCCATTTTATCTTATTTATATTTTATTATTTCATTATGATGTTATCGATTGACCACTGACCCACCGCCTGTACAGAAAAACAGCTCCATTTCCATGTCAATTTTACATCACTGCATTAGACCATTTGCCCTCGTATATATCATTATCCAAACACACAAAAAAAAATGTTAGAATTCACAATCTATATCCAATATCATGGCTGGAGTTCCATGGTTGGTCAAAATGTCTTTCTCCTCTATTGATATTAGTTCTTTTCCACTGACCTACTTGCAGGTGCATCGAAGTACAAGAGCTAATGAGCAACAATGTACTAACTACATCGTGTTGCTATATGATATAGTGTGTGATTTACTATGAATAAATAGAAGGAAAAGGAAGAAAAAAAAAAACAAAGCTTTCTATTGATTGATCTTATCTTTTTACTACGGTTTGCATCTTTCGACCTCCTGTTTATACGTAGATTAACCATGCATAGGACAAAGTTTCACTTGCTCCTACTTCTGATTCTACTTTCCATGGTCCCCATTGTCTTCTATGATGATGCTATGCCTGCCAGCAATTCTCGAGACCCTCCCAAATGTGTTGGAACACGTTGCCTTATCTCTTCAAAAGCGCACATCGTCTCTGAATCAAGCCCTCCGGCAAACTACACAATTGAATAGAAATAACTGAATTAGGACTGCATGGCTGCAATTAACCTTCATTGTGATGCATGAATAAAGAACTTAATTGAGTTCACCTCTAAAGATTGGGTTTGAAATAGAGTTCTACTCAATTTCATTATAGCTGGATAAATACATTTCAGACTGTAATATAAAGAGGATCATTGCTTGGTGCAGTTGTAAAATCTTGGGCTGATGAGAATGAGAATGAGAGGGGCCACTTCATGCATGAAAACAATGAAGGTTAGGCCTGTATCCAGTTCAACCCTCCCAAAGATCCTGGATATCTGGGATCAATATTGGGAAAATGGCCCTTCTACTGTAATGGAATCAATCAATCAACCTAAGGTCGACTTCACAGCTCAAATACAATTTTGAGTGCTTGAAGTTAAAACCCTTGTGCAGAATTTGGGGGATCTTTTCTCCTTTCATGTTCTATTCTCTGACAGTTAAAATTAAAATAGAAATAGGAAAAGAACTTCCCAACAACTTTCCATTTCTCCCCCTAGTGAGGAAGGGAAAATTGTGCGCAAATCCTTGTGATATTTTATGAAATTCCTTAACAACTTGTTATTTCTAACTTATTTTCCAGGGAACTGAATGCAGCATTAATATTTAGGATTGCAAAGCCAAAATTTCTGTTGGCATGGAAGATCCACCAGCTGAGACCCCATATAATGCTGGTTCCGTCCCTTGCATGTTCACCATATTGATTGCTACCTAGATCCTTTCTGTCTGCCCAACAGATACCTTAATGTTATGTTTGGTTTGAAGGAAAATGTAGGGAAAGGAAGGGAAAGGTAGGGAAACCTTTACAAACCTTGTATTGGTTTCCCTGTCTTTCCCTTCCTTTCCCTACCTTTTCCTTCAAACCAAACATAGCTTAAATGTACACGAGTAATTTCCTGATAATTATATATTGCTGACTGTTCTTGGTATCCCTAATCTGTACAGGAGAATCAAACAAAATTCATGACATACCTGGTGGGCCCTATAAGCAAAACGCACACCCTGAAGCAGAAGAGCTTCCTGTGTAGATTCCCTCTCTGAATTCCGGATTGATTCAAGTTCCAGTGACACTCTTTTCATGTACATTTTGGTCAGTTTCATAGAGGCCTGCTTTATCTGTACAAAGATCAAGGATAGATATTGGATAAGTTTGACAGAATTGCCAAGTAAAACTGACAGAAGAAAATGATGGTCAGATGATAGAAATGGCACTGGCACAGAGTATGTTATAAAACAATTTAGCTCTGGAATACAAAGTAACACAAATAAATCAATGTTGTCAATCCAACAAGGACAAAAAGAACCTTATTGAGTATTGACATAAACCTGAAAATGAAAGCTTAAAAGAAATGGACACAATGAGGGTAATAGAGGTTGAACTTGAAAAAGTAATTCAATATCATAACAGTAAAAGTGGCCAAAATTTGTAGTTCTTTTCTGTACTTTTATTAGTTTAAATATGATAGGCTTTCTGCTTGGTTTAGCAAGAAATAACAAATATTACTTTAAAATTTAAAGCCTAAATGAAATGGTAAAGGTGAATGACTGTAAACAACGATAACAGCTGAAAGGTGATTAAACATTATATAAAACCCTGGCTATTGTCTCTTTCTTCATCTTTCCTAATCCGAACTCCAAGGATAAAGTTAATACCACATCTATATTTCATTGCCAAGTCAACCAAATCCCAGTCAGCCTTAATCCTAACTACTACATGTGCCACCCACTAGTTAAAAGTGAAGAAATTATGTTCAAAATGGTAGAAATGCAATCTCTCTTGGATTAACATTTTTTAAGTTTAAAGAGGTGGCAACACTTAGTCTAGGTTAAATGTTTCAAACAACTAATCAGAATTGAACCTTAAGACTATAACACTATATCATGCACATATTAAAGTTTTCAATTGATTGTTGATATGCAAGAATAGGTGTAAAAGTTACCACAAATATGGAGGCAGACTATAAGTTACACAAAGATACATATTTCAGCATCTAAATGTGTACATTAGAAAATATTAAATTCTGTGATCATTCAGTCCGTTCTTTTTTAATGTAGAGCCAAGCACAACTGCTGACATGTGGCATTTGTATGGCTGAGAAGAGGCCTATATTACACAACATGGAAATATGGAAGGCAATCTATTTTGGAATGTCAATGTAATAATGTAGGTAGACCAAGAATTCTGAACTTTCTATTTTAAAAAGCAAGATGACGTACCTTGAACAAATCAGGTGAAAGCATACTGTCATGAAAAAAAGCAAAAAAGAGGAACGTTGATGTTTTTAAAGTGGATACTAGCATTTCTTTGAGAAGTATTCATAAAATTTCTCTAATATGGTAATGGGTGGAGTGTTCATGTTACATCCATGTATTTCCTCCATACAACTTTTCTTGTTTTATTAGTTGTAATAATCATTAGTTTTGCAAGGATTTAGAAAGCTAAAGGTACTAGTTCACAACATTATGAAATGAAAACAGCCAACAGTATTTATATGGACACTGTATTTGAAAGTCCATGTTTAATTAAAATACTGGATCATAACTTATTGTTATCATTGTTAGTAGCAATCAAGTGCTAAAAAGCATAAAATAAAAAGATAATCCAACAAATTTTAAAATTAAAACTGTATAAATGTGGAACCAATGGGCAACTGGGACACTGGATTGTTGACAGTGGCAAAATGAAAATCAAGGTTATCAAAACAGAAATTATACCAGCTCTGGATATGTTCCAGAGTAGGTTATGACCAAATAGTTTTTCCCTCTATCTATTATGAAATCAAACATTCAAAGATTATTCCTAGTCTTTCTGAGAAAGGAAAGAATCATAGACATATTTGCAAAAGTAGAACAATAAACATCTGAAAGGAAATGGCATCAAAATAAACATACCTTACTAATCATTCCTGTGTCAAGCATCCAATCAGTTGGGACTTTACAATCCCGGTAAGAGAGTATAACTGCATCCCTCAGCTTAACCAGCCTCTGAATGCTCCGCTCAGACCTTCCACACACCACACAGGAGCAAATCAGAACTATAGTTAATACAGAAAAGAAAATTTTAACTAAGCAAAATAAAACTTTCCTTTCTTTCACATACTTATCCAACAAGCTACCCATCTTCTTCAAGGCAGTATCACAAGGCATGCTGTTGTCATCATTATAGGAAGAAAGTTCACTTTCTAATCTTTTAAGATCTCGATATTCAACAGCAGCTTCACGCATGGCATCAGCTTTCCTTTCAGGCCAATTGAAGTGCTTTAGCACAGCCCTCTCATCAGCCTATACAACACAGGATGAACAATGCACTAGTAACACAGAAGGTTTTAAGGCTTGGATGGAAAACTTCCTTGGTCTAACATAACACACCATCAATAATAGACTAAGTTTTCATATATATGAATGTTCTCTTTCATATGTGTGTTGGGGTGGTTTCCTTGTCCTCCAGCCCAGCTGTCCAAGTAGGAATCCCCTTCTCAGCATATGGATAATTTCACAGGAGAAGATTTTCTCTGGAATATTGACAGTGTAATGCTGCATTTCTCTGTGCTTGTACAAACGGTGCAGCATTGCCTGCCAAGTCTCAAAACTCCAGGTAAAAATTATATCCTAAAATGAAGGAATAGTTCCTGTTGCTCTTCTAGTGATTATATTCCACTAAAAAAAAGTTGATAACTTCTCCCTCAACCTGTTACAGCTTTCTTATTATGGGAATTTTGGGCATTCACTCCCACTGAAAAAACTAGGGTCTTAGCAAATATGTCATACACGATATTAGGGAAAGAAACAACAATAAACTAATGATTAGCCAAATGACAGTAATCTGCCCCATCATGTTCCCCTGAGCTGCATCTAGCAGCATCATAATTGGAAAGAGGGTAATATTATGGCTTTGAATACAACAAGAGCAAGGACCTGCCGTTGAGATAGCTCTTATATAATCTTTAGCATTCATTAAGCAAGGACCTGTTGTTGGAAAACATTTGCAGGTACAAATGCACCTTGACTCTAGAACAGCAAATACTTTTCAATAGCCATGTAAATAAAATCTTAAGGTTGGATAAAAGGTTTAAATGTTCTCTTTCATATGTGTGTTGACCATTGAAGGATTGGTTACCAATTGGATATTGATGCAGATATTAAGAGTGTTAGGGTGGCAACAACCATCATCACCCTCAAAGATGCTTCAAAGCAACATTATTTTACCAACAACTATTATGACTTAATTATCTAATACTATGCCACATAATAAATATTCCATATTTCTTTCTAGCTTCCTCTTCATAAGCAAGACAAAAAATAACAGTTTCTTCTTTGATTTTGCAAAAAGTTTTCAACATTACCAATGAAGAGAGTTCACCATCGAGCCAATCCACAAATTTTAGGACATCCCCTATATCCGTATATGAAGCCTCCTGAACTTTCTGAATAAGAGATTTGATAAACTCTCCTTTTGTTTCCACATCTGCTTTTATCTACATTAAGAGGTGGTCATTAATGGTTTCAATAGTACAGACACCAATCAGCAAAAAAAAAAAAAAAAAAAACATAAATAAGGATTGCAGATGCTTACAGCTAACAAATGAGCTGAACGATTTTGAATTTCTCCAACTATGCTGTTATGTGCATTATTGACCATGGGATTACTGCAACGCCCAGGTCCTGAAGTATCCTTCTTCCCCTCATGCTTTGTTAATGAATGATAGAATTCCACAAGTGATGAAGCTTTTTGTGGGTTACTTGATCTTGATGGTGCACGAGGTGGGGGTGGGGGTGGGGGTGGAGGAGGGATAGAGTTCAGTAGAACTTTTTGTTGTAGGGATGGAGGTGGAGGCAAGGGGACAGAATTCACCAACACTTTTTGTTGTGCGTCTAAAGCTTTCATTACAGGACGTGATGGTATTATAGATGGCGACTTAACAGTGCTTCCATCCTTGATGGCCTCTGTTGATCTACTATGTTCCAGCTTGTTGGCAATGAACTTCTGAACATCTTTAAATTTGGGGCTCTGGAACTTTTCTTCAATAGATTCCTTCTTCATCCAAGAGATGATATATTACTAAAGTGAAAAGAACACTAGAATGGAAAAAACTTGACATGGAATGTTACTAAAATTAAAATCATCACAGTAGCAAAAAGGAAAAAGGTTCATTGTTGGAAGACTTCAAATTCAAAAAAATAATGAGATGTGTTCTGTGCTCTTCCGTTACTTGTGTAAGAACTTTTTTTTTTTTTTGATGAATGTGTAAGAACATTTTTTCCTTTGACACCAGAAGATTGTTGTTCACTTGTGACCAGCTAAAAGCCATCAAAAGTCAGCATAAAACAGAAAGTAGTAAATTCAACCTCTCTCCTTCAATTAAGCAGGTGATCCTTGAAAACTCTTGAAAGAAGATTCATAAAAATCAAAATTCAACATCTACTCAGAAATGGGGGTCATACATACAAGCATCTTCGAAGAACATCACAAGTTTGAAATGTGGCCTAAGAATGCGTGAACAAGAGAAGAAGAATCCAAGTTCAGGCTCCCGTCGAACTACTTTATATGCAACTACCAAGAAATCAGCTTAGGCGTTTTATTCTTACCTTGTTGCGGGTTGCAAGAGCTGAAATCTTGGCTTCAGCAGCGGCAAGGTCCTCAGCGAACTGTCTGTTCTGTGACTCCAGCTCTACATTCAAGGTCTGCAACTTCTCCAACTGGCTCTTCAAGGCCGACATCTCAGATTGCAAATCCTTGACCAAATTCTCGCTAGCAAGGAGCTTATCCTGCAATTCCTTTCTCTTCCCATCTGGGTCATCCTCGTTCCTCTTGCAGCTGGGATCAACACGTCGGCGCGACCTGGTCAAATGCTCAGCAAGAGGACGGTTTACAGAGGGAACCGCAATTTTGACATCATCCAACTCTCCACCCTTTTGGGGTCCTCCAGCATCCTCGTTAGATTTTGGCCTGTTGAAGCCAAGAGGTCTTCTGACCTTTTGTCCGTTGTTATTTGGGTCCAGGGGAACCGATTTAGGCCTTGGTCTCAGGCTAGGTGAGACCCCATTACGAGCATCTGATCTTGGGGAACTCTTGGCTTTCGAAGAGGTCCTGAGGCGGGATGGAGTTGTGGATTGTGAGGAGCTGGGCTTGCCTTCAGTTGTTGATGTCGTTGTTTTTGAAATCTCTTGTTTCATTTCTTCCAACGTATGCCTCCCTTGAGATAGCAGTCTCCCTTCAAGCAAGTTGATGGAACGAAAAATTCAGGGCGTTTGATGAGAAAAAAAAATACCCCTAATGTTGTTGCTGCAAGCCTGCAACCTGCAGAGACGAAAGGAAAGAGATTGTGAGGACAAAATGTGGAACAGTTTGTGAAAGCCGCGAAGCGATGAGGTAGTGAGCTTGTGGGGTTGGGTTGACCAACTGTCCGACATTAAACTGGAATGGGACCGGAGGACGATCAAGTGCCAAACAAAGCTATACGCCAGGCAGGGAAGTTATTGAACCAACTTGGCAGACAGAAAAACCCTCCACAACTGTCCTATCAACGAGTACAGTGATCTGTGCATGCATGAGAGAGGCTTTGGGTTCTCTATAAAAATATAAATAATTATTTGTAGAAAGAAGATACTAGATAGATCAGATAGAGCATTTGGCCATTTGCACAGCCCTGAATTCTGAATTCACGAGAGGAAGGGGGTCCGCTTTCCTCTCATCAGATTTGGATTTGTCTGACAACAATACCTCGCAGTGGAGTTGGATAGGTCCCATCTAAGACACCAGCCCCGTTGGTTAAATGATGGGACACATCAATCTAATACTTGCCCACGACCATTACACAGTACAACGGTACAACACAGTAACACACTCACGAGACACTGGTTCCACAGTAGAGTAGCTACTGTGGCTGTGGGTCCTTCCGAACTTCCACTGAAGTCTTATTGACCTTCAACCATCTGTAGACCCCAGATTGGATTGGAAGCCAATTGGAACACATCTGTCCTTGAAATTATATACATATATATTCATTCATTACTTCATTAGCCTGGGTAAATTATGATCCAAGTTGTCTTAGGCCTAAAGGCGGGGCCGCCCTCCCGGTCCACTTGCGCAACAGAGCAAGGGTTGGTTTAGAAGTCACGCTTAAGCCCCCAACTTCCAACCTTGTTAACTTTTGTCAATTTGTCGGCTATCTTAAGGATGATACCACGGATTTTGGTTTTGATTTATGAAGGATCAGGATCACTCACTCAGACTCAGAGTCTAAGGTTCGATTTACCTTTGTTTGTCGGATTGGAATCTAGCTCAAACCCTAGCCCCACCCTGTATCCGCACAAGTCACATTAATCGAAGGGTGGGAGTTGGTCTCTACGGCTCTACCAGTCTACCTGCCCATCTAGAGATTGGTTTTCCCAGGGCCGAGGTCATCTATGATCTAATCTAACAACACCATCTGTTTTTATTATGTTTCAAGGGACAAAATGTCGAATGTTGGAAAGGGGGGATTCCGCTGGCTAAAACCTGGATGGGGGCCATGGGGCTATCGTAATTCTTTAGCAGATAGGGCCAAAAATCGCCGTCCCTAAGGAAGCATCACAGTATCATCGGTAGGGAAGGGTGATGACCTCAGAAGGGAATAATTGCAGACAGGATGACGATGCCTGCATCACAAGCGTCAGTCGTATCACTGCAAAATTTGATTAGCCAACTAGAAACTGTTGAGAGAAATTTCTCACGAGGAAAAAGAAAAACAGCAAAACACAAGCAACCAATCAACCAATTCAGTACAGTCACAGATGTTTGTTCCATTATAGATGCACGCATAGCGTCTCTATCTTATTGTTTAATTTCTTCAAGAGTCATTCTTTCTCATAAATTAGAGAAAAGCTAATGCGCAATGGGGTTGGAAACAGCCCGGATTAACTGCACTTATGGCTGTCTCAACAGCTGTTTAACCAATTGTTCATTTGGGAGGGCTGAGCCGGCTGTTTTGAGGTTCTCTAGATAAGTTATATATATCTAAAGAGGTTGAAGAGAACAGTACAAAATCCGGATTTTTTTCATCAAATATGTTAAGTATGCCCATGAAAACTTGAAAAGCTCACCTAAGAAAGCCAAAAGCCACCGCATGTCAGCAATGTAGGCAAGTGAAATATTGGAATAGTTGTGGGGCATATACACTTGATGGCTGATGTGGGGCGTTTCTTAAACAGCCCTAACACAGCCATCAAGTGCAACTAATCCGGTGCTTTGCATGAAACACATGTGATATTGTGTTTCAAAAGTCTCTTTATAAACAGTCTTTATAAAAGTCTCTTTATAAACAGCCTTTGAACCTTTTATTTAAAACAACGATAGCCTAGATTAATGTGCAATCATTGAACCTTGATTCGGTTTATGACGACTAAAACTTGCAGTACTTGTACAGAGAACGAACAGAGAAGATTCATCAATTTATTATAGAAATATTTTATTTTATTTTATTTTACTTCATAACAAGTAACACTAGACTATTTTGAAATAATGAAAACAAACAACAGTACCAAATATATTACTCCTCCCAAGGCACATGACAGTGGGTCCAGTAGCATATGAATGCAGAAGAGTATATTTGTAAGTCAGCACAATCTCACTGTTTTCAGCACGGGAATTACCTTTTAATATCCAAGAATTAAAAATTATTTTCTGTATATATAAAATACTTTTCCTCTCACAGCCAGAGAGCTTACCAAGAAGCTAGTTGACACTTTCTTCTAAATTATTTCATCTTCTATTATATATCCATGATTTCACATTCTTCAATTCTTATATATTTTTATTATTGAATTTGAATTAAAACTTTATTCAAGGTTAAAAGAGTTCTAGAAATAGACCGACTCTCTCTTTCTCTCATATGTATATGGGATCTTAACACTCTAGAGCAAGCGTTGGTCTTTGGACTATAAGGATTGGAAAGTTCTAACTGTGCAAGTGGGTTGTAAAATTACAACCGTGCTCGGGAAGGGTTTCTTTTTTGATGGGTATGCTCAAAAAAGGTCAATAAATTAGACTGATGGAGACATCAGAAAGTGCCAAGAAACCAAAACAAAATCCAAAGAAGAACTTATTTTGTACACTGTTACATAATGAAATGGAGACAGCCTTTTTGTTATTTGTCTTTTAACTCATTATTGCAGTAGAATGACTCGTAAGCTCAGTTTGAAAGGAGTACAAATACAAGCAATACAAACATGTAGAATGCAAAATCTTGTATTTTATATTATTTTGTATGTATTTATATTGTATTTATATTGTACATATTTGTATTTGTATTCTTTCTAAACCGAGCTTCAAGAAAAACAAAAGATGTAAGAACACAATGGGCAAATTTTATGTCAAAGGGGTAAAAGGGATGCCAAGGGAAGAGGGAAGTGACCGATATTTTGTATAGAGAAGTGTTTGGTATAATTGATTTTCAAAGAAGGTTTAAAGGGGTCAGTGAACAGTTATTGGTTATTATGCTTTCGTACCCTTATTATTTGAGCAGAATGCTTTCTAACTTAAGCTCATGATGTATAATAACTGTTGTTACCAAAGATAAAATGGGTAACAATGCTTGCTAACTTTTATGGTCATTATTTAGCAACGTAGAATCATGATGTATGCAAAATATAGGGTGGATTTGGGATTTTAGCCATTTATTTTACTCAAAATCTTGGAGTATCATTAAAAAACAAAATAAATAAATAAATAGTATGAATATAGAAACACTACAATACAAATGTGAAAAAGTAATATATATATATATATATATATATATATATATATCAAAAAATTTCTTTAAATTCTAAGTGTGAACTAGGAAGTTTCAGACCAAAAAGAGGAACAGGGTCAGGGGTCAACCAGTCCCGAGTTAGCTCATGTTTGGGAATGCTTCTTTTAAGTGCTTAAAAGATTCCAAAATGACCTGAAAAAGCCGATTTGGACGTTTGGTAAAAAAAGCCCAATAAGTACTTTTTTACCAAAATAAGCCCAGTTTGAAGAAGCCGAAATTTTGTGCTTTTTCATAAAGAAGCGTCTATTGTGCTTTTTTATCCATCCTTTAGTGCTCAAAATACCTATACTACCCTGCTTTTGAAACATGAGCTTTTTCACCAACACTCATAAATTGCTTATTTAAAAGCACTTATTTGAAAAGCACGCTTAAAAGCATTTAACACTCCAAACACCATTTTGGTGAGTTCAGGTTCTGAAATTTGAATGGATCCAACACCCCTTACAGGAGATGGCTTTCTTGAGGATTTATTTAGAGCTAGAGAACATAGTAAGTGGCGTTTTAAAAGTGTCAATGCACAGCTGGAGACAGACCTGTAGTTGTTAAAATTGTTAACCATGTGCTTCTTAAGATCAAAAACAACTTTGCACCAGTTACAAGTTAAAACTAAGAATTAAAGCAAAAGGATGAAAAGCAAAAGTTTTTTAGAACTTTTTATCGGGGCAACCAAAAAGGTGCGATAATCGTAGATGGAATGGTTGTCCAATGGGTTTCTTTTAATGATATTGGATGACCATATCCCACTTTTAATGATATTGGATAATCATATCCCACCCCCTACCATCACAGTACACAGATTGATTTAACTCATTTAAGCTTTATAAAAGCCTTTTTTTTTTTTTTACCTCTGGCACTAAAATCTGTAAGCACAAGAAAAAGTAACCACTGATAAAATAAAAAATAAAATGAAGCAAAGCTCATGACAAGCACCAATGACCCATTCCTCCCATCTCCATAGTCCACACAACACAAGAAAAGAAAAGAGAATGCAATGACAAGGTGAAGAAATAGGACGGTGTGTTAAGGCCCAGACAGGGAGGCTTATTCCAAAGGCCCAAAGCCATACCACGAACTCACACTGAGATAAGAATGTAAGCAATCAATTATTGTACCTTAGGTCTAGGAGTGCTATCCATCAAATCCACATCACTTTCGCACTTATTTCCATCCCTCCCCAACGCTCCCCAAACATCAAGAATGTGTTGCTTTTACTCAAGTAAAAGCAAGCTCATTTGCTGTTCATGAATGTTAATGTCACTCTCTCCTTTATTCTCACCCTTTAATTTTCTTTATAGTTTATACCCGTTTAAATTATTAAATATTGCTGGTGTACCCTCCTCACCGGTCACCAATGACCAATCCCCTCTAAAAACACAATGGAAAATCCTTAATTAATATGTAAAGCAAAGTCAGTACTGTAGTAGCAGATCTCTAATTCTTCTTTTATATCCTTTGATCCCTAACGTGAGGTCACGTGCAGGAGTTTGTTGAAGTGGTTGTTGCTTTTTACTTGATTCATTCATTCTTTCCTTAGGCTTTGTTTTGTTGCATTGCAATTTTATTTGCACTAGTATAAATTCATGGAGTGCAAATGAAAAGAATGCAAATTCTAGTTTAATTTTGTTTTGGATTTTACTGTAAGGAAAATTTGGGCTCAGTGTCACTTTGGTCCCCAAACTTTAAAATGTGATAATACAGTACCCGGACTTTCAAATATGTCATTAACCAGCTGTTAAGTGGCATTTGAAAATACATAAATGCCCTTCGAGTCTCACCTAATTCTCTTTATCAATAATCCATATGTTGACAAAATATGAAAAGTCCCAAATTCTTGCCTCTTCTATTTAAGAAAGTTGGGGTCACGTCGGAGTGGACATTTTGGTGACCCCAACTTCATTGAATAGAAGAGGCAAGAATTTGGGACTATTCATTTTTTGTCCATGTTTGAATGGTTGGTAAAAAGAATTAGATGGCACTCTAAGCGTATTTGTGTCTTTTTAAATGCCACTTAATGACTGATTAATGGACATATCAATGGCAGGTATTGAATTAACATGTTTTGAAAGTTTGGATACTGAATTGCTGCATTTTAAAGTTCTCCTGCACTAGACCCAAAATAGAGAGTCCTAATAGAGAATTTTCCCTTTTACTTTATTTTGCTTTCAGTCTTATTTTATTTCATTTGTATGGCAATCAAACAAAATAAAATAAATTTTCAAATAAAAATAAATTAAAACTTTTCACTAAAACATTTACACTACCATAGTTTTGCATTATTATAAATAAATTCACATTGCAACCAAACACAGCCTTAGCCAATGCAAAGAACCGAGAGAAAGGGAATGTTGAGAACGAATGTTGTTTTCAGATAAATGAGCAGGGTACCGGAAACCGATCACTTTTCAGATAGTAAAAGAAGTCACTGCAAATTCCATGAAATGAATGATATTGAAACTACGATTAACAACTGACAATAAATTACCGTTACAAAATAAATTTAAGGGGAAAAGAAACAACGAACAGCAAATGCAGGTATTCTGAACGGTTTTTCGTGAAATTAAACTTTCCGCCAGAAGTTTGTGTAAATGTAACAGACAAGAGAAATTATAGAGAGATTGTCAATTTGTCATAGGGAGGAAAGAACATCCATGTCTTAAATATTAAAGAAAAAACAAACCTATAATAAAACAGAGCGTGTGTTCTCAAGTTCAATGTGAGGCTAAGCCAGAAACTTGCAGAAACATAACAAGAAAATAACAGAGAACAACTAAACCAGAAACTTAGCTCAATCACAGCAACAAAAACACCAACAACAGACCAAATTTCTCCAATTCTTCTATAAACATGCAGATATTCACAAAATAGTCTATATACCAGATGTGCAATGAGACTATACTCTGAAAACAGAGTCAGAGAAAAATAGATGTGTAGTTTAATACCTTAAAAAGCCCGAGAGTCGAACATAAATTACTTATCCTTCAGCTAAATCTCATTTCCAAACCTTCATTTCTGCAACAGAAAGAGATAAAAAATAATTTACTAACGAAGAAGAACAAGAAGAAAGAGGAATTTTGGGGTTTTCTGTTGTGCAGAGAGAAAACGCCGTACCTGAGCTGAGATAAAAGGTGAAAAGAACTTGTCGTCGTTGGTAGCGGGTTCGCATCAATTAAGCTTCACATGTGTCTTTTATAATTTTCCGAGGTGGAAGGGCATCTTCGTGTGAAAGCCAAAACGTTATATGTGAGACCGGATCTGCTACTCACTCAGGGCGCCTCATACCGGCCTCACCTGTACATCTCACCTTGCATTGTTCCCGATGCATGGCGGGATGTGCATGTGAGGTCGGTGTGAGTAACAGATCCGAACTCGTTATATGTGGGTGAATGTGAATGTGAATGGCGTTATCTTATTCTTACGATGGTTGTGATGGTCGTGACGAGTACTGAGTAGCTGCGGCAGGGAGAATATGAGAATATGTAACTCACGTGCCAGTACTTATGCGTCCTCTGATTAATTCCCTCCATCGGAATTGGATGGTTTAGATTTGAGATTACGTAGGGGGGAGAATCCCTACTCCCCTACTCACTGATACTTTTTCAGGGTCCTTGCATGGAGTACATGTGTCTTCACTCCCGCAACACAATTTTCTAAATCAATGGTCAGATGAGAATGATTTTGGTCTTTGGACAACTTGCGTTGGTGGGCCACCACTCCTACAGGCTACAGCCTCCAGTACAACAGATTTGAGAACTGGGAAGTGGGAAGAGGCGTTAGGAATTTAGGCCAACCAAACCCTCAGTGGCTCAAGCTCAAAGGGATGCTAACTTGCAAAGCCCCTGTTTGAGAGTGATTATCCGGATAAATAAGTGATTATCGTAACAAGTATTTATGAGTATTTGGCAATGTTTTAAAAACCGTCCCGGAGGCTGAACTGTTTTTGCCTCCGGGTCGTGGGTCATCAGTTCGATTGGCCGGGTTGAACCGTTCACGTCTATATATATATATATATATATATATATATATTAATAATAAATAATGCATAAATATGTTTTAGATATGTTACGTGTATTATTTTATATTTAATTTATGTTTTTAATTCAATTTTCAATTTTTTTATTTATAAAAAAATAATAAAAATTATAATTTGAGACCAGAAAACAGTTTTTTTTGCAAAAATAGTGGGGTAAGGTGCCTATGGCCCTTGGGACACAAATCTTGAAAAGTTACCCAAATTTAAAAAAAAAATCACCTCAATTGGACATTGAAGTGCAAAGCTATGGCTTCCGAAAGTTTTGCATGCATTGATTGTGCAACTTGCGATTCGGTCACCAAGTCCAACAGTTTTTTACTGTCTGACGAGTCTTGCCTGAACTGGACTTGGAATCCTGGCTAAGTGACGGTCTAAATGGTTCGACCGATTTAGTCAACGATTGGTATGTTATATATATAATATTATATATGAATTTATATATATAATAAATTTAGTATGTTATATTTACATTATGTTTATTATATATGAATGTTGAAAAATAATTAACCTTTTATTCTTTTAAAATCGGACTAAATCCGAACCCAATATGAGTATATTAGGATTCAAATTCGAAGTATTGAATATGAGGTCTTCAAATTCAATCGAGTTCAAATGCAAATTTTCAATATTACAGTCCACTTTCAAAGTAGAGACTAAATAAAATGGTTTGGAACCAGACCAGATGGTTAACAAAACGGACCGGGAACTGGTTTTTCAACTTGTTCTAATTCATTTCTGTTTTTTCGTTTTCTTTTTTTGAAAACACCCATAACAAATCCATTAGTGGGTGAGAATAATTGGGCTATTTGATTATCATTCCTCTTTAATGAAGCCAGCTTATTAGTAAATGCTTATTTAATAAGTTGTTTAGTACTGTGGTCGTTTATTTAATAAATGTTTTGTATTGGATTTATCTTGAAAACTATAAATTGGTTTATAAACGTTTATTTAGTATTGTTTGACGGCTAGAGCCATTAGACTCCATTAGGTGCCACATAAGCTCAGTAGTAAATAAATGATTAGGTGTTGGAAAATATTAAAAATGGTATTAATTCCAATGGTTGATTCTCACAAAAACTAAGAAAACATTTATTTAATAAATAGTTTTACCAAATAACATTTTGGAATAAATGCCTACATGGCAATGAGCTAAAAAATGAATGGCCACAAAACCAAACACCATGTAAAACCTAAAAAATGAGTTGAAAGAAATAAATGGACAAAATACCAATATTTTGAGTTTCTTTCAAACAAAACATATCTTAAATGTTCAAGATTGTGTTCCAGTAATCATAATTCCATCCAAATGAATACTTTGGACCATTCGGACTAGTCCAATTCAATGTCTAGATCGTCCAATATGTTCAAATTGGTTTTAATTTAGATTTATTCTAATCCAAACCCGATTCATTGACACCTATATTCTTAAGAGTGCAAATGGATCGGATCATGATCTAATCCGATCTGATCTGAAGTCCAATCCTACTTTGTCGGATTCATATATCCCCATTTCAGATCTTTGGATCAAATCGGGTCGGATAATAGGATCCGATCAGAAATCGGATCACACCCTATCCGATCCAAGAGGACCCAATCTATATATAGTTGAAAAGATACTCATTTTTTTTGTTTTTATTTATTTAAATTGTTATTTTTTATTTTTCTTTCAATAATTTATTAATTCTTTTACAAAATTAAATCGGATCAAATCAGATCCAAATATCCGACTTCCTCATCGGATTCAAATTCAAATTATTCAAATCATTGTTTGTGAGATCCGATTGGATCTGGTGTTCATAGTATCGAACTAGATTCAGATATACCCTAATTCGAATCTGATCCTATCCCGTTTCCATCCCTAAAGCTATCAATGGACCAAATATTGGTTCAATCTGTCCAATCCAATATAAATCCAGTATGGATGAACGCAGGTACAATCCAATCCAATAAAATACTTTGGACAGTTAAGGCTGGACGGTCAAATTCAATGTGTCTTATTGGTCCGTTCAATCCATCTAAATTGATTTTGATTTGGATGGGTCCAACCTAAAATCAATCCATTGACACTCCTAGGTAAAGCTAGAATGTCCAAATTTAGAACTAATATTGGCCACATGACACGAGGGTTCTCACGGTTCGGTTAATCGAATCATGGGGCATTTTCTTGAACTAAACCAGTAGTATTGGTTTTTTGAAAACCGGTAACCGGAACTGAACCAAAACTAGTCGGTTAATTGGTTGACCAATTCGGTTAATCGCCAGTTTGGTTCGTCAATTTTTTAATTTTTTGTTTTTACAATATATATTATAAAAATATACATAATAAAAATTTATTAATATATATAAAATATTATTGATGTGGCACGATCCGGGCACTCCTAACTGGCGGATGACTGACTCCTTGTTGGCAACGAGCGGCACCTAAGAAGATGAAAGGAAGGATTCCCGGGGGTTTGCCCGGTGGGAATACTCCGATGCTTAAGTTAGTACTGTGTATGGGGAGTAAAGAGAGAAA